GGGCTCATCAGGTAGGCGCAGTCCCCGGGTTTCCGTCAACCTTATGTTCTACTTGAAACCAAATTGCACGAAATTAGCGAATATACACTCATGTGCAAACTAATTTGGTTCTTTCGAGAGACTGCGAAACCGGTCGTGGGCTGTCGACGGATTTTCAGCAACCTTGAGTAGTACATTACAAATATACATGTATCGCGATATTTCAAATATCGTAGCGACTGAAACATGAGGCGGCCTGGTGCAGCACATTCAGTTGCCTGAGAACATCATAAACGAGAGATTCAGCTGGGTTCCAGGTGAACCCAGCTAAACCTACCACATGTAATTGTTCAGGTGGAATCATTCACGGACGCAACTCACCCGAATATCCGGCTTCACCTCAAATGAGTACGGGATTCGCTGGAATGCCAAATATCGTTCAACAACTTCAGCTAACTGCTGATGTTTCCAGCAGTTGATCAACACTGCTCCAGAGTTTGTGGTAATTGTATCTGGATGTCGTAAATCCAAATGTATAAGACGGGTCATCACACCGGCTGCAATGAAGGGCACACAAGGCAGATAAGCGATGCCTGAGGCATGTTGCTTTTCCAGTGCTTTGATTCGTCGCTCATGTGCCTTGCTGGATCGAGTGGCAAACGGTAAACCGAGGACACCCGTCGGAATCGACTGTGATAATCCTGCACTCGAACTAGACTTGTCGAGTGACGTCAGAGTTGTAGGAAGGCCAAACAAGCTAGTCTGGTTAGCTCCAGTGCTACAGGATGATGACTGGAAGGGGCTTTTATGGCGTCCTTTCGTTCCACAGGTATTCTCTCGACGCAAGCGAGCAACTACCTCCCGGTAGTGTTTATTTCGCTCGATGGCCTAGATAACGGAAAGAGAGGAGAGTTGCGTACAATCCAATATATCCCATGGCGTTAGGAGATCATCTGACTTAACTTACGGGGACCGAGATTAGTAAATGTCCAAACACTTTCACATATTGGTAGTATGTTTCGGACACCTCTGTGCAACGGTGTGGGACAGTGCCTTACACATCCCATCGACAGGCTGGAAAGAACTGTGCTATTTTACTTTGATTGCTTAATTAACTTAATAAGCCTTTTTTGGGTATGAGTATGTCTACTTTAACGGTGCAGTAATCCCCAAGAATGTCCTCAACCGAGACTAATCCTCTGGAGATTCTATGACCGCATTGTCCAGAAACCTCAGGACGCGATTCTCATACAGAGACCAGCACTCTGGAAGGAGCCGTACTGATGAACCTCAAGATAAAAAGTATCGATAAGGCAATATCAACAACGCTGAACAATTGCCCGTCCACCTACTAAGTTCAGTGTTTCGGGAGGGCTTAATTAATGAACAATATGTTGAATGATATAAAAGTTTTCATAAGTTAATCATTTTGGCGTGAGAAATCAGTTGGATGGTTTCATCTAATAAGCTGTAACTGATTGCTTAGGGAGGAAAAGAGGCAGTTAAAAGTTTGCTAAGCCCAAAACAATATTATTAAAAGTTTAGTAAACACTACTTGTAAACAAGGAGCATTACTTTGCGTATCACAAGACAAATGCGAATATCCCTCGCAAAACGTTTTTGAAGGAAACTAAGGGAAGGCCATCAACAAGAAAGCAAGATTCATTAGAAGTTTCAGCCACAGAACCATTTGAACCGGAAAACGATTTCGATCTACCGCCAGTTTAGTGTTTTTCCGCGGGATTTGGCATCCGTTTTAGGGAGGTTACAGGCAGTGGGAGACTGAACGAATTCCAATAAACTGACAGTAAACTGCTTCAAAGTGAAGCACTCTTTCTCCGTTGGTACAAAACATAGGAAATGAGTGTATACAGTCAAATAAAGGTAGAAACGAGGGTCCCATAAACATCCTTATGGACTCAATTTTGCAAGACTGATGAGGAATGTTGTTGTGAAGGGATGAAGCTGATTGAGACATGCGATTGTACACAAATGATAATGAAATCCGACACTGATCCGAAGCGGTATCAATGCTTGGCAACGCTTATTAGGGTCAGGTAATTAGTTAATACACTAGGAAGTCAGTTAGTGGTCACAACTGACAGTTACATAGTGTGGGTTCCCCGTAAAACGATTGATTAGGCGCTGATTCGAAAAGAAGATCGTCGGCGACTTCAATCTACGGTAATAACGAATCTACAAAAGAAAAACTAGGTTGATGAACAGAAATCCAAAGGTCTTCGTTAAACCTGTCATTCGTGGATATTACATAATCACGGAGTCACATGTAAATCGGTGGCGGATGATTAATTCGAAGTGAATATTAAAGGAGGAGTACTACAGTGCAACGGGTCAGCATCAGAACAGAATAACCACGAACTTCATTCAGAACTGGACCGTGATAACACAAGGGATTATTTTACGAGTGTCGTGTTGCAGTTTTCATAAGGCATCGATAGACGCTCAGTGTAGGAAGGTAGAAAATAATATCTAGTATAATAAATTTTTTTTCGATCTCCAGAAAAGAAACCTGCTGAGTATCTTAATAGGCGAGCGATCGGAGGTCAGGTAATAACTGCGTCAGAAGGTATCATTGACATTAGGATGGACTGACAACACTTACAATATTCTGAGCCTTCGAACAACGGTTTTGAAATCCTTGTAAGTTGCTCATAATAGCTTTGCTTTGGCATTGAGATAGATCGGTGATTAAGGTGTGAACTTACTGACTGGAAAGTCTGTGGTTAGAACCCACACTCTGAACCTGGACTGCCCCCGGCTTGGGCAACCTGACAGGCTGTGTGGCAGCTAGGCCCTGAAAAGATATTAAATCTGAAGGATTATTAACTATGTTTATGCTGACTGGGACAGAATACACAGTGTGAAATCACACTATCCCAGTGATTCTAATGCGAGGTCAAGTGTCATGTGGCGACACTGGTTCGAACGCCAACAGCCCGCTAGCCAAACGAGTTAGGAGGAGCTGGACGGAAGTGATGTGACTGAGGATAAAGCAGGCGGTTTACAGTGATAAAACCTAACTACTAGTGGCACGGTATCCAAGCCACAACGACACTGAGAGGTGTGAGTGACACGACAGAACCAACGAACGATCAAGTTGTTAGTCCCGGTCACTGGTCGACAGGTTGTCCGCGTGTCTGGCGCGCTAGAGGAGGTTACAAAGAAAGACTAAGCGACTGATTCATATGTAACTAACACAGTCAGATATGGCGTGTCAACCAAGACAAGCTTTGTTGTGATGTCATGTCACTGCAAAATTCCGGTGGTTAACAACATGGTGAACAGTAACGTACCATTTCACTGGTCATCACTGTAAAGGTGACGACTGGATGTGTTAGGCAATCCACCAATGGAGAGCAGATTAAGTAAAAGTTCGTGCGTCATTTGCGCGAAATGTGGGGCCACCGAACAATTAATTCAAATACACATGTTCGAAGAATGTTTTGTCCCCATAGAAAATGAGGGTGGTCGAGTCAAGTTGAAGAGGATACGGTTGAGTACTGTAGCGTTGCGGCTAGGTGTCGTAAAGATACACACACTATGAATAAAGCAAGAATGATGCATTCAGTACTTGTGCCTGTTTTTTGTCTGTATCACAGGAAATTACGCCAGGAAATGAAGATTGTTCAAATGAGCGGCGTGAATCCAATAAGAATACCAACGACGGACAATCTTCTGAGGTAGAAAACAAAAGGATCTGCTGATGAAGTTGCCGAACTCCAGCTGCCTTGAGATCAGGTATTTCAGACAAAGGCTTCAGTTGAAGATGCTAATGATGCTCCTGTGAGGGTGTAGGTGTCCTGACAGTCCATCAGCCCGCATACAAACATGAATTTCACAACGAAAAATACTTTCCTACCACATGGACTGTCACCTGATGCCACCGACCGGGTCACCCTACATGCCCCGAACAGCACGGCAGTGAAAAGAGAAAGGCTACCACTGCGGTCTCCGAGCAATTCAAGTATTCCTTCTCCATCGTTTCAGCCCAACGTACTGTGCTTTCAGGATCCTGCACTGAAACTGTGAGCTCTGCTCGATTTACACTAAATATCGCGATAAATGCGCACCACTGCACTTTGGTAACAGCCCTAAACAACCCGAAATCCAATTTCAAACCCCGAAAACTGGATTATCTAGATTCTTTTCATCTTCAGACTCTGAAGCAAGCAGGACAAGAAGCAGCTGGATTCCCTCTACATTGATGTATTTTCTCCTGACACAAATACGAACCGAAAAGCAAGTAGTCGGATTCAAAAGAATGCCCCGTCATTCCTTCCGCTTCTGCCAGTACATCTATCGTGACGGCACGGACGTTACAGCTTGACAAGTCAGGGGTGGATAACTTGCTGTGCTATCGAGCGAAAGCATCTTCACTTGACTGAATAGCAGCCGCTATTCGCTTCTGTGCCATCTGTTTTGCGACGTCCGTCAAAGAAAGATAATTACATTCAAGACAAAACATAGGTCTGTGGAATATATTCAGTCAGATAATAACCAATACCTTGATAGACCTCCGTTTATGTCAACCTCTATTCGAGGGCCTCATACACCACTCACAGTTTTCCGCTGTCGTTTGTTTCATATTTAATCTACACGAACAAGTGAACTGACATATCTGCGACGTAAAGGAGAAGAAATCCCAACCATCGTGGTTGGCAAGCTCGTGCCGTCAACCTTACAAGTGATTGCACCCATTACATATTGAACATTTATTTCAAAAGTACGGTGAAGCGGAGAGAGGCCAACCCGCACGTCAACAAACTGGCACAAAAAGCAGTTAAAAGTGACCACAGTAATCCGATGGTCCTGACGACAAAACTTAACACAGTGTACGGATAGCTGAAACCTCATGTGCTCCGAATTCCCAGTGAAACTGTGTTTAGCTTTCTGATCCCACAATAGCTGGTTACGTCAGCCAGTATGAAATACGTGTTGCCACTGTAACTCTACTTGTATCCAAGTTGTGGCAAAATTTTCAACTGCAAAATGGTAAAATAGTCAGGTTGTGAGTTAGGCACTCTTCCATTATGTCTTCGTATCCTCAGTTCCATTTACGTGATCATTGTGACCTAATTGTGACTGAATTGGTCCGGTCAACACACACCAAAACCTACAGTTCACCCGTTCCACCTGCTTCCTTGTGAACAGATGAATGGCTAGGTGGTGAAGGAAATAATGTGATATTATCGACGAAAGTATCGACCACAATACCGTGAATCCTGCAACAGGGTTCGGTCGAAGACTCACCCGTATAGTGGAGGCTCTAAAGACAAAATGTTGGAAGGTGCGGTTGAAAAAAGAATTAACTGCACATTGACTGAAATACCTAATCCTTGCAGCAAAACACCTTTTGAAGTGCCATCTGTGGATAGGTTAAATTTCTGAACGACCAGTGCGCAAATTTAGTCTGTTGGCCGCAAGAGTGTTACCACAAACCTCAAATCAGAAGGCAAGACAGTGCATCGTAAAACAGCAATACGACATGGAGAAAGTGTATTGAACTGAACGATCGAAACTGTCGTGTACTGGATATCATACATGAATCACAAAAGCAGTGAAGTGCCCCCAGAAGGGCATGACGTTTCTTTCAAGATCTTTCAAGAGATAAACGGGTAAAAATGAACTGCGTGGTCACTCAAACACAACCAGGTATAAGGAGTGAGAATTACATGAGCAACAACCAACTTCTGGCACTCCATCTGAAACACCTATGTGGACCTGTTCACTGTTGCTTTTCAGGTGGACACGTAACAGGTAGTCACTGTCTGGACAGTGAAATGCTCATGGATCCAAAAAGCAAAATAACTTATTCGGACCCTATACAGACGTGATGCACTACTCAGAAGGTTGCTGAAAACTCCTCGACTGCTCGAAAAACGAAAGATTCGGCTGGGTTCCAGGTGCTTCCCGTCAAAATCATATTGGTTGACAATAAGTGTATTTCACTTATTCGAACCTTTTTCAACACCTGCCTGATGATCCGATGCCGGATATCAACGTCGAAAGCTGTCTATCATTACGGGACTTGTATCTCTGGTACAACCCCGTTAGTCTTCTCCATACATCGGACCTCTCAAAATGTGGTTTTGCTGGAGGCTCCGCGATACATGTTCTCCACTCGCAACCACATTGATCTCCACGCATCATTCAACGGCAGGTAAAAGTGAAAATGTGCACAAACCGCGAAGACGAAAAAATGGAAACAGTGAGCAGTGCGTCAGCAGGTATCCACAATGATTACTTCCAAGGGTCCACCGAAGTCTATTGTCAGTAAAACTATCAAGTATCACAAAACTCAGAAATCCGGTGAAGGACTACATGTGGACGGCTGGACAGACGACATCGAAAAACAATCCATTTGAGCACATGGTAATTCCCATCTGGGATGTCGGCTTGTAACAGGAAAGTGGAATGGAAAATGGAGCCCTCCTCAGTCTCGGAGACGTCCAAGTGTATACTCTTACTCAAGCGTCATCATACTCTTGGCTCCGGCGGCCTTCCACCTGTTCTGTTAAGAGAGGGCTGCGAATTTCTGACTAGGAACTTCTCTAACCTATTCGCGTCCACATGGGGAAAAGAGACAAACCCAGGCAACTGGCAGGAATCCATTTTCGAAAACGGTGGTCGTAGTGAATGTACAAACTACACAATCCCGCTGTACCGAGGCCTATGGGGTCACTGAATCTTCATCGTCTGATAATTCCGGGCATGTAAGACCGTATGTAGATCTCTCCGAAAGTTCCCCAACAAAAGGTGGCGTTCGGCGAAGACGTTCACTTTCCCCATTTGTGTTTGAATTCGTCATGAACAACAATCACAAAGAGGTTGAAACATCTTCAAAGCCCCGATGTTCAAATCGTTGCTTGTGATGACTTTGTCGATCTGGAGTACGTATGCGATGTCGTCGAAATCTTCGAAAACCGAGACAAAGCACTAACGCTGACAAACGAAATGACCACCGTAATACTGTTTTTTTTTCATGTATCTTACCTTGGGGAACATGTGCCCGTCTAGGTGCGTAGCTATATGAGTTATAAGTAATGGCGGCTAACTGATATCGGTGGCGATTGTGCTGTCAGTTTCTTTCTAGTGCCTGAATGAGCATTTTGGAAAACCAGTTTTAGTGGGCGTAACGGTTGGAGTGTTCACAGTCGCTGGTAAATTTTTAATACGATGATACATATCTCGCTCGAGAAACGCGAGGAAGGAGGATGGAGACGAAGACGAACCGGCATAGAATTTAGAAAATTATTCGCACAGTCAAAATTGGAGTGGTTTCCCGACGAGGAAGTGCTCAAAAATGACTCGAGGAAAAGCACATGCACACATCGACAAGGACGACGGCGAACATCGTGACTAATCAAGCTGCCTTTCCTACACTGGTAGGAAACTGTCATTGGTGTTGTTGTCGCATCAATAATCAACACTGATCAGTAATATTGTCCACTTAATCAGGCATCTTTGTAAAACATTAAACGGGTGATTGGACTGCCTCCCGCCGAACAGCGAAGCCTACCTTGGTGAAAAGGATTTCTGATTTTTCGGGTGTGGTCGTCTCCTGAAAAGATTACCACTCTCCTAGTTACAGTCAATGGGAATTATATGAAGGACATGAATGACACAATACCATCGATCTCCTTCGTCATTAGATATCGACAATGAACATACACGGTGCTTGCTTGAATAAAGCAACCAGCTTTACGCAACAGTCTCTATCACTGCACCGCTGGAGTCGCAAGTTCTGCACAGAAATAATTTCCTTTGGAACGGCTTCATCGAATAATTCTCATTTAATTTTGCTGAAATAAGAAGCAAATGCTTGGAAAATCCTTGAAGATTTTATAACATGCCACTGGCAAATGACCCAAAGTGGAATTTAATTTAAAAAATCATACCTCGAAAGATCGCCGCAACCGAAAAACCGAAGCGCTGATTAAGGCAGATTTGGCTTCTTGACTACCTTGTAGGTTATTCATTCTCTCCATGATCAACATGAGGTCAATCACACGTTTAATTGCGACGCATCGATCNCAGCCAGAATGCATAAACCAACCAGTTACGAAACTGTAAAGAAAAGAAAAGACGAGAATCGTAGGAAATTTGAGTACCGAGTTGAGAAAAACCTAACCCACGAGCTCGATGACCTTTGTGAATCAAGGGCGAAGCTCAGTGAAGAGGCGACAAATATACTTCCACTGGAGCTACCAACGTAGCTATTATCTTATGTAATTTACAGGGGCTTGAACATTAGAAACTGACCGGAGAGCTGTGTGGGGGTAGAGAAAAGTGCTTGTACTACCAGTCAGGGCGTGACAGTGGGTGTAGGTGAGCCGTGGTGCTTATATTTCACCGACACAAGACTGAAGGACTAGCAGTACAAAAAACGGTAAAAGAATAAAGATGAGATGCTACACTAGGTCACCAAGGAAGTGGGGCTTATTTTCTGGTAGTAAAAGCGAGTAAGCTCGGTTACATTAGTTACATTTAGTCAGGCCAAAATACATCCCCTTTTATCCTAACTATCACATACAAATTCACGTGAAAGGTATCAGAACGACTATCTAATCCAAATTCTGAAACACCAAAAGTGGGCTTGTGAAATACTTTTATTCATTCATTGGATAATTAGACAAATGGAACACAACTGAACAGTTGGTGGTTCTCATGCCTGTTTTCCGAGTGCGTTTGAATGTTACAGTAGAATACTGAAATCACCCATATCACTATATCCATCTCCACAAAACATGCTTGTGATAGCGCCGTCGCCTAGTCGTCCCACATTGTTGTCCGAAAAAAAACAGCATAGGATTCCATTCCTGAATGGTTGACGAGCGAAGCGGATTCGACTGGCAGCAGTTTTCGAATCGCTGAACGCCTGTGCAAAGGTTATCATACATACGCATATGTATAGTCAGTGATACTTGTAAATGGTGCAAAGGGAACCCTTGACAACAACTTGTTGTGAAGTATTTATCTGAAGTGGAATTTGTCCATCGTAGTGAAACTCTGAGAAAGTATGGGGCAATGTGTTCGCACACAGGGTTCCCTACATTCTGGTCGAAGCGCCGCCACAGGAAGGCAACGCATCTTGGGTATCGGTGTGTTGCTAGAAATTGTACTGGACAAGCGACGTTAAAATCCTGCACTTACTCGATTTGAAAACCTCTTGGATCGGTCTAAATTCGGAGTAGAATTGCCAACACGATCACGTCCTTCAACTTCCCAGAATTGGACCGCTCGATACAATTCCCATTCATACAGTGTCACTTGCTCTGCAAGACGATACGGATGGATCTACGGGAAAATATTGAAAGGAAAGAACGAGAACAGGTTGCCAGTATGTCACAGACCTTGATTATGATAACACATGTTTGCAGCCATCCTAGAATCCACAGTAGACACTTGCGTTGGAAAGTAAGCAGCTAGAAAGTAAGGACCAGTCATATGTACTCGGTGGGAAATGCTAGGTATGATCCCTTCGGTCTGTAGTCTGCGCCGTTTAGCAAGAACACTGACCACGCGCAACACGAAGGTAGAACTCTGACGACGACAGATAGGCAGGTGTGGTGATAGGCAGAGCCAATAAGCCGGTCAATTGCCTACAAGTCAGTCATTAAAAAACGGCATTTACGGAACAGCAATGATTTGATCCGATCAGATGCCAATTAACTAGGTAGGAACCACGGTAAAGTGCTGCTGAGGCTTTAGCTGTGGGTCACATTTCAGCTGTAGGGATCTTGTATGGTTTAGCTCCCAAATATGGAACATCGCAAGATTGTTGGTTTTTGTCCTCCGATTCTTTGCAGCTCGGGTCTTATAATAAGGACCAACATAAATAATGAAAAGAAATAATACATAGGTCCGTGTGACATCAATAACGTTCGTTTAAGTGAAGTCATAAGCGTTAATAAAGGGAACGAACGCAGATGAATAGACGAGAGTTTAGCACAAAGAAACGGGGCGACCGGATGCGGTAATTTTTTCATGGATTCTAGCAAGGTGGACCTGAAAATGACTGAGACATGTAGTACAAACTGAAGGGAAGAATCGATAGGATAAATCACCTTGGCAAACTGTTGTTCAGAAGGCCTTGCAAAAATAAACCTCCTCGACACCGATTTGACAACGAATTTCGCTGAATATATTCTACCGATGTTCGGTAGCTCTCAAAAAGTTTACGTGCACGACATACCAGGCCAACGGCTCAGTACTACTCCACCAAAGCAGCATGAACACATTTAAATTACCATACTCGGACAGACAAACGTTCGCGGTTTGAGTAATATAATTAATCGGCCCCACAATTCGGTAACAAGTCGGCAACCGATCAATCGACTCGCTCCTTAGGATTTGCTGGTCAAGTATCGCCACTGACGGCCTAAACCAGCATGAAAACATTCAACGATTACCTCTGAAAAGCCTCAGGATGTCGATTCTACAGCCACTCTCAACTAGCAAATCCAGATTAGAGATCTTATCTGGAATGTTGCGGAAATTTTGGAAACCTGAATGCAAATAAAGGAATTACTGTTGAGAAAAAGTTTTCCGCCAACAGGCCTGCCTAAACATCATGCAAATGAAATCATATATAGCAATGCCGCTGAAAAAAATTTTGAGAAATGCAAGCAAAATAGCCTACTTAAACGTACAGCAGTAATGTCCAATCCAGTAGATTCGGTAGAGGAATCCGTGGTTGAACGAACGGGGCTGGACAGTGATCCAGCTCTACGGATAGTCACCTCGGTGTAACCTTCCAGAGTCAAACGGGGAACATTTGTATCTGAAGCTAGGTCAGGAGGGGATTCCTGAGCATGTGTCTGCAAATACTGCTGAATTCGACGTACGCACGCGCTCAAATGTCGGACCTGTATGGAAGCCAAGAACTCAGAAAGTCGACGGCGCAAATCGTGATTTGGAAGAAAATCGTTCTGAAAATAGCGCTGGCTTCGAACCCATCGGGAAAGTACCATAAGAACTCTGCAAGGAAGCAAACAAACGAGTCGGAGAAAGCTGTCAGCATTGAATGAGAACGACATTGCTTTTGGGTAGAAGATACGTGTCAGAAAGTGAAACTACCAACATTTCTAACTACTTACCGAGTCTGAACCCGTTTTTTGTACCCTGATCGGAAACGTTTCAACATATGTTGGGCAGGGGACTCCAATTGCCCTTTGCTTTCGTCGAATTCGAATTCCTCTGGCAAAAACTCCGGGTCAGGGACACGAAATCGTTCGATCAACATCTCCAGAAACGTTTCAGGAGTGGTCACACGGCGATATGCCAACAAAAATGTATTGACGAGTCGTACATCGAAATAGGTAGGATAAGTCAACCGTTCAATCAATTTTTCCAGTGTGGCCATTCGAATTTGCGGGTGCAATAGTGGTGAATATCCCGCAGAATTCGTTCGCGGAGAAACAGTGGCGTAACCCCCGAAAGGGTGCGACGGTCCAGGATGAGTCATTGACGTAACTGTTATTGTCGTAAGGTTTGGAGGGTTTTTATCTTCATTCGGATTCCCTAACTGACTAGTGGACTGAGCGGATGCCGCCGAAGTGGAATTATCTAAGAAATCCTCCGCCTCGCTCAAAACCTCATCGTCACCATCGATTCCTTCTTCCGATGAGTCCAATGAATCCGGAAACTTGCACACATTCTCATTAGGATTCAGAGACGATGGGTTGTCAAACACAACGTTTTCCGATGTATCCGGTTGAGCGAACCTTGGAAAACAAGATTTCGATGTTGGAAAGATAACAAAAAATACCGATATCATGCAGGAGCAACGAGCAACGAAACCAATGAAAATGGCAAAGGGACGAACGGTATACCTAAAGAGATGTACCTCATTAAACGAAAAAAAATCAAAATCCGTGAGAAAACAAGGGTAGTACAAGTTCCCTTCCAAATTTAGTTTCCTAGGTCAGCTAGTATCTTAGCAGAGTTAAAGTAACGTAGACGTCACAGTAGAGTTGTGTTTGGCAACGAGTAATTAACCTGTTTACGCGATATTGGATAGCTTTTCAAGCTAGTTTACGCAACTCAGTCAAAAAGAGGAATAAGAAACGCCAGTTATTGATGACGTACATGCAGGAGCACACTAGGTGGTTTACATGGCCGTTTACTAAGAGAAACATGCCGAGGACCGAGCCACCAGTTCTCAGTATACCACGGATTCAAAGGGCGATTGAATTTTAGAGCCTTAGTTGAAACGGGATGTCTTCATCGCCCGGGTACCACGAGTACGGTGACCTTCGGGTCTGAACGTTGCTAATCACACCAACCACCAATGCATTTTAGTGAGAGCGAAATCAGTCTGGTGCTCAAGTATCGGCAGATATCGCTCGCAAGCGTTCAGATTTTGAAGGCCTGGAGGCACGATAAAAGTGTGTCCCATTACGCCTTCCTAGTTTAATTTGGGGCCAGGTTCCCGTTAGTCGCCATGCCCTCCTAGCATGTTTGTTATGTAGGAGGATTTCGGAGTGCGCAATGTCAAGCTACCCTATAAACAATGATTGAGTTGGCAACAAGTGTAGCATTAATCAAACAGAAACGCACTTGAAAAGTTTCAACAAATACTCAAACAAGAGAAATTAACCGCGGTCGACTTAGCCTCTCAGGCGATTCAGCACACAGATAAATGAGATGAAAGTATGAGGATAAGTTCACACTAACCGCCTTGAAAAAAAAGATGCATTAAAATCAATCATCAAATCTAGAAGGATGCGGACTAGCCGGCACCGATATACTTAGGTGATACTACTTCGGACACGATTGTCAAGACCAGTCAAAATGTAACTGGATTTTCTCAAATGCGCCAGGGGTAATAAGAATAATAATATATCGTTCAGCTGTAACACCCATTCGGTGCCCAGGTGCCATGCCACCCGAAGAAAGCATGAGGGCTGGGATACTGCCAGGTTGCCCAAGCCTAGACAGGGGAAGTCGGGAGGCAGAGGTCGGGTTCGAACCACGGACCTTCTGGCTAGTAAGTTCGCGCTCCAACCACTTGAGCCGTTCCGCCTCCCCAATAATAATAATAATAATAGTAATAATAATAATAATAATAATAGTTGATTTGTAACCCCCTTTCGGGGCACAGCTGCCACTTCACACGGAGGACGTACGAGGGTTGAGATCTGCAAAGTCGAAATGTCGAAGTCGGGTTCGAACGACCGACCTTCCGTTTAGTGAATTCGCGCCTTAACCGTTGAGATATCGGAAGGGGGTTACCGAATTACTACAAGAACACAGGGATGAACGGTGACGCTTACCGATACACATTCGGAGATGGAAGGCGCAGTGGTATTTCGAGTTTGGGAAGTGTTCGAATGTATCGGAGTAAGGGACTAAAACGAGTATATATAAACAACGTAGTGACGGAACAAATGAAAACGAAAGGAATGAAAAATATACTCGTTAGCGATTCCTATCAGCTTCATAAGTCCTCTTCAATAAACTGCGCGGACATCGTAATGTTTCAGCGAAAAAATAATAGTATCATGGCGTCAAACATGTAGGTACCAATCCAGTGTAAAGATGTCTGCCGGTTCGGACGTGGCAATTCAGGTGAACCTAGTGTGCTCCGCAGGAGTTGTGACATGGTTTCAGACACCAGATGGTCAGAGCCTAAGTATTGATACGGACGAAGATAACCACTGATGATGACCCGAAATAAGAAAACAGTTTCGGTTTTCTTCAGCTTAAATACACTCACCAGCCAGAAAGTGTTCAGGTCGAGGTGCATATCGGAATTAACCCCACAAAGTCCACAAGTAAATTGATCTTCAAATGGAAATTATGTGCTGGAACCGAGAATTTACCAAGACAAACTGAATACGGATCAAGAAATATGACTTGCACCCAAATCCACTTTGATAAATGGATACAGCATAAGCTGAGCAAAAAAGTCATTACGAAAAATATCGAATAAAGATATGAAACGAAGATGAAGCAGTACTTGAGACTACACTAAGGATTGCGAATGAAACACCCGAACAATGCAAACCGCTTGATTAGAGTAACCGAATCGGACGTAAGGATGATCACACACATTAATTCAAGGTGTTCTACGAGTGCAAAGGAAATATATCCATACGAATTTGTCCGTCAAAAAGGGTTGGACGTCTTCTCATACTTGCGACAACACAAACATTTTGCGTGGAGCCTGTGGATCCATTGTACAAATAGCATTTTGATTGGCAGACAAATTCGCACAGCCTTGTTGATGGCCACCTATCGGTCCAAGCATAATGGCACTACAATGGGCAATAGGACCACAATAAACTATGAGATGCCGGTGCCATCCATCAACTCCTTTATGCATCACCATAATACTGCAACCACCCTCACACAATACTATATGACGATAGCTTTCAGGGGCTCAGTGGGATGAAGCATTTTGGTTGTCATGAGAAATAGACGACAGAGGTGCAGAGGGAACATAGTTCCATCAGTAAGGAGCTGGGGTAAGCTTGGCTCAACTTACACGTCGATGCATTGCGATTGACGCGGCATGGGTCAGAGTTTGCACACGCAAATGCGTCCACGGGTTACGCAGCCAAACTTTCTCAAGATTTAAAATCAGAGTCAGGATTTCTCAAACTCGCCTGATTAGTGCATTTATATCGCGGGTTTTTCCATGTCTCAAAGGGCATTCTTTAACTGTTCACACAGCATTTATTTGGAAATGCATTTCGTACGTGGCTTAACCAACGCAGCCACTCGTGAAATAAGCTGCCCTACATTCCACAAATTGTCACCTTCCAATCTGACCAACACATGTGCATAGTCCTTTCCTGAATATCCAGGAAAGCTTAAGAGAACACGTAAGAATGTTCACATTTTAAAGACTATGCGCATGAAATGTTCACTCTTCTGTCCGAAGAGTTGTACCTACCTAGTTCGTGTACGCTGGTAAACGACTTCGCGGGGAATGTTTTTCGTCCTTTCACCTGTATACCGTCTATGTCTCGCTGTCACACTAAGGTGGACAGCAGAATAGGATGACACACTGCGGTTTTCATGTCCATGATCCATGTACGTTTTTGAAGTACTCCAAACACGACGCTAACCTTGGAAAACCGCAGGTCCAATTCTTTGTTGATTACCCGGTCGATCATTAGAAAGTACTGCCAAGGTAGCAGAAACCTGAGCAGCACGTCATCCCAGTTATCCCGGTGGACCACCAAAAGTCTATGAAGCGGCCAGGATGGGACCGGGATGCGAATCGACGGTGCTTCCCACCAGTCTGCCCTGCCAGGACAGGACGGAAGTTCACGCAAGCAGTTGCTGTCTGACCGATTCATCGGAGGTGTGCAGCCTGTGCTTGGTGCTCAGTTGCGGTTGGCGAATATAATCCGACCGTCATATTCAGATAATTCCGGGCATGTAAGACCGTATGTAGATCTCTCCGAAAGTTCCCCAACAAAAGGTGGCGTTCGGCGAAGACGTTCACTTTCCCCATTTGTGTTTGAATTCGTCATGAACAACAATCACAAAGAGGTTGAAACATCTTCAAAGCCCCGATGTTCAAATCGTTGCTTGTGATGACTTTGTCGATCTGGAGTACGTATGCGATGTCGTCGAAATCTTCGAAAACCGAGACAAAGCACTAACGCTGACAAACGAAATGACCACCGTAATACTGTTTTTTTTCATGTATCTTACCTTGGGGAACATGTGCCCGTCTAGGTGCGTAGCTATATGAGTTATAAGTAATGGCGGCTAACTGATATCGGTGGCGATTGTGCTGTCAGTTTCTTTCTAGTGCCTGAATGAGCATTTTGGAAAACCCAGTTTTAGGGGCGTAACGGTTGGAGTGTTCACAGTCGCTGGTAAATTTTTAATACAACGATACATATCTTGCTCAGAAAACACCAGCTGTAGCATGGCATACCACCCTGGGGAAGCACAAGGACCTATATAGTGTCAGGTTGCCCAAATCTAGACAGGAGCAGTTGAGATTTAGACCTTCCGGTCAATAAGTTCGTGCCACCGAGACATCCCACAAGCATTCATCCCTGGTGTTGCTGTCCTAGATGAGTAATAATCACGATGATGATCAAGGTGGCGATTTTGGTGACGGTATCGTCCAGAATGACGGCAGTCGATCGCAATGATGACTATAGTTAAATACCAGTACCCTCACACGGGCGTTGCTGTCAATAACGAGTATCATCGTGTATGGAATCTACGCCGATCGGTCGCTGGTAGGCCGGAGATCAATGACTTTTCCTATCAGCAGCATGTCCAGAGCATAACTCAATCGTAAAAATTCAGTGGCCTGAGCCATAATCAAATAAACAAAGTCCGTGAAAGTGAATCATTATCATCATCATCATCGACAGCATGACGTCAGTGTTCAACACTGATGCTTCACTGCCGTAGGTTGTACGTGGGCTGGGATACTGTCAGTGCCCCCACACCTAGACAGGAGGACGATTAGGGTCCTCAACCATAGCCTTTGGCTCAAAAGCCTAACCGCAAGGCAGCGGTGTTTGGGGGGAAATGCACTCTCCACTCTCTTCGTGACGGTGAAAGTGAATAATCCATGATTACAGGGCACAACCGCAACAATGAACGCGAACAGGTAATACGCAACAGACAAGTCTTCCTATTTAACTTCACTGTTAAATACTTCCCAAAGAACATATAGCCCCTACTTCGAACACATTATCAAGGCTGAGGTGGAACGCCATTCCCCAAGAAGCTACTCGATCTATTTCATTTGCATCAACCTACAGATTCGGTAAGGTTCCGTTAAAGCTGATTGGACCAGGAACAAGCGAAAACAGTCGGTGCCAAACGAGCCCACACTGGTCGCATCGTTTTGCATTCCATCGGTGACCCTAGGGAGATTCAACAACCTCGAGAATGAAAGTCCCAACCCCATGATGCAAGAAACATGCGCGGTAGTGGAAAAACGGTACGATACATCGAGATGAATAGTAACGGGCACAAAGCGGCGAGAAAAAACTCAATATAAATTAACTTCTGTGAGAGAATTAATTTCACATATAGTTTCTTCGAAGCATGATACCAGTGATACCTCCAGCAGAATTCGGAATTCGTCCGAATGTGCATTTCCATCTTTTTCATGTCCAAGGGCTTTCCGAAAGACAACAGGACTCCGCTAGTGTCAAAAAAATGAGGTGCGTTAAATCGTGTGGGAGACTGAGAGCCTCAAAAACTGAAGACGTCGCATCGCGCGCATGTAGAACACTAGCTGATCAGGTTCAATAACTGTCAATGGTCGACACAAGATGCGTGGTCAGAATTGGGGGCGCGCTACCTTAAAAGCTACAATTTTAGTTTTAGGTGATTTAACATCCCACTGTTATCTGAAGCGGTTCATGGCCGGGGATAAGAGTTACACCGACCGCAGCAGTTATTGGCACTTCTTCCGAAAACAGATTGACTTGCTAAAACGAAACTGGACTAATAAGGGACTAACCAGCTACCATTCAAAATTCACGGTGAGGCATTGCGATCAACCCGATCATTCACGGGCAGAAATCGATCGTGAAAGTACGTGTTGGTTTTAGTTCCCCTGTAAGTCGAACACCATACCAGATATACGCAGAAAAAAGCATGTACGCACCGATGCCATTGGATACTCAGCAAACTGGCCATCCAATCAGCCTTCTCTTCTGGTGTTCGAAAGGCAAGCCAAATGCGACGAACCTGGGAACCGGAAGGGAAGCAACTGCAGGTTAAAGCTGTATTCGCGGTCGCTGAACACTCTGAGTTTGGCACAAGGTCATCAGCATCCACACCAGAAGACGTTGTATTGTTGTATTTCGAAGGGCTCAACTGACGGGAGTGTTGACAACAAGGACGGTTTTCCACGGCTATACCCCCGGCGCTTTGTAAAGTAGCGGCAAGCGGAGAGCTGACAAACTCCAACTCAAATGTATATGGATATGCTGCCAGCCCGTGTCCACCAATCGTAGCCAAACTCGCTTGACTTGTGATGGAGCCATTCATTCCAGAAACAATGAGATCTGGACAGTGAACAAAGTAACGAACAATCTAGCGGTATAAATGAGATCTTAATAAAATCGCAAAAACTGGAAACTATTAGGTAGGTGTTGGCGCTACCATCAAAATAGAGAGGAAACATTCACCACTATAATAAGGAGCTCTTTATCCATGAAGGGAACTAAAAAATTAATAACCCATAGGAAAATGCTGTTAATGCTACCAAATATTGGTGACGAGAATGTTCACAAGAAAACTAAGCAGGAAACACCTGTGGTTCTTTTACATTATAGGACAGGTCAACCGCCATGACTGATGATATTTTGTTGACCTGACGCTCCTGGTCCGTCCACAAAGCATCACATATGGACGTCACCTGTTAACGCCAAAGCCCTCATTTCTCGTGCACTGAGGAATACTGCGAAATGAAGTCGACCGTTTAACACTACTACAGTGAATATCAACGTAGCAAGGTTTGGTTGATATTACAGCACACACTCTGGATGACAACGACAAAGGAAGCAGGAAAAAAAAGAAAAGGTTTTCTGCAATCGAATTAGTATCTCCTTTAGTTCTCTTTCTCATTTAAGAAACTATCTGCCGATGGTGGGACGAAGGACCCGAAGGACATACTTATGTTCCATCTCCACAGAAACATGGGACTAATATTGCAATCACACACACACACACACAGAGCAGCACAAATTGCGGGGAATCTGACACCATCCCTTCTACGTCTGGATTGACTGCTAACTAACTGCAGATATGGGCCCTGGTTATCTTGGCCGTAAAACTTCCATATGACGCGTGATGTAGCTCGTGCTCGTGCACAGATCGGCAACTGTAATGCGGGATTCCACGGACTGTATGAATAGGCCACAACTACGTTGGGTCGTGCGCACACCTGAATTAGACTTTAGGGACAGGGTCACCGTGGAAAATTTTTATCGTCCTAAAAAAGACTTCTCTTCAATAACACCTGCGAGAATGAGATTCACTGTCTGACACCCTGAGGCAACGTTGTTCCTCTACAGGCATTCATCACCATCATCGACAGCATAACATCCGTGTTGAACACTGATGCTCCGCTACCGTACAACCATGAATTAGGTGAAAGCCCTATTTCGTCATCTCTCTGCATCCACCATACTGAACTGGGCACGGAAAACGGCACTCGCTTCGGCAAATGAAGGTCCGATAAGAACAACCCATGACTTAACCGACGCAGCATCCAATGCTGGACACATCTTTCAATGGCAGACCCCGTTGCAGGACCGAGTAATCCCTCTTAATAGCCTCCTAACGGATACACTGACGGCAACTCGCACGAGCATTGGTTCTCAAACAACGGTTATCGAACACCTGGAGACGTCTCAGTTCTGCTGATCAAACAGACCAGCTCTCACAGCCATACAACAAAACATCCCGTATTGTAGCCTGATAAACACAACTTTGAAATTCATGGATACATCGCTTTGACGCCATATGTGTTTCAAATTAGTAAATGAGACCCGAGCCTTGCAGATACGTGCATTTACCTAAGGTGTCACGAGAAAAACGAGAAAGAGTTCGCCTGCATATTCCAGTTCAACAATGTTTTAGTTCGCGGTCATTTGAACACATGGCTTTTAAAGACTCCCCAGCACCTGAACTAGGAAGGGAGAAATCGGGCACACCTGACGGACACCGCTTTGTGCACGGGAGCTTTTGGAGAGCTCTCCATATACTCTCACAGGTCCGGAGGTCTGGAAATACAAGGGACTTATTATGTTCACAAAATTCTGGGCATTCTTTGATAGGCAAGTGTGTCAATGAGAACAAACCGGTCAACCGAGTCGACTGCGTCTTGGAAATCCAGGAATATTAAAATTTTGGATCGCGTGGATGCATGATGATGTTCTACAACCTGACGGAGGTCTTAGGAGTTCCGTGTTCACTATTCAGGGTCCTGCGTGGGCTCCCCAGCCGATATTAACCGTTGTTCGAAGTATACGGTCCACCGGCCACAGCGTTCTTCTTCATCCAAGAGGGTCGCTCAGTTCTGATCCTGGATCGATTCTATTATATCTGCTGATTCGCCAATCTGTTGTATCTGACTGCTGACTCCGCTCCAGTGCCTAGTGCCAGAAAAAGACTCCCCGGAGGGAACACAACAGCTTTATTCAGAACAAGCGAGTGCGAGCGCGAAAATACAACGGTCTCAAGCTATTTCATTGGAGGGACACTGTCTGAAATCGGTCCAACGCTGACTAACACTGTCTGGTTTTGATACAAGGCTGTGACGCGCTGCATATCGACGGGGCGTTGTCTGCCTGGTCGGCATCCAAAGGAGCTGGAAGTCTCAGTAGATTTCGGGCATTCAGTGTTTACTTTCAGGAAACTGACCTTCCTGATAGTTTCTTTCACCGATTTCCGGGGATCGGATGAGTGGGTTTCAGGTGAAATAAACTTCAGGCACAGCATCTTTCTGGGGTTCTTCCATCCACGGTGGAGTAGGTTCAACAGACTCTAGGGGACAATTCCGGTAAATTCGTTTAACAGCCGGATTTCTTAGTTGCCAAGCGATTTGTCCGCACCTTACACGGACCTGGAAACCGAAGGGAGAAGCGACTCCGGACGAGTGCGTGGTCGGAATCCACAAATGTGGATTCCAAAACCAGCATCAGTCACTGATTGACCTGCACTCTCGGTAACTAAAAGCCATGTGATCGATTTGAGTTCGTGGTCGGCACGCCGTTGGAGAAAACCATGTAAACAGACGACTTCAGCTATTTCGGAAATTAGTAATACATGAAAACAAGCCGTGGTCGACACATAGCTGAAGCAATTGTTCACCGTTATCCGTACGTACCGAGTACAATCCACGTCGATCACTTAACTGAGTCTTGGATGCGCTAAGCCTGCTCACTTGTGCATTCAGATCCCCGGCAACCACAACAATACCTGAGTTTTAAGCTCGCCGCAACAGGGCGCCTTTCATGGTGTCAAAGTTAGTCAGTTGGGAGTAAGCATACACTACAAACAGATAGCTAACAAATTCCCGCTTGTGAAACTCCGTCACAGACGTTGCAGGACGAACCACACAAAGGCTACTATCAACGGGTATCCAGTCAAGCAAGGATCCTACTGCTCGATAACTAATGGTGATACTAACCCAAGCAAACCCTGCCACAGCAGTCTCCGGATCACAGCCGGAAACGAGTGAAGAGTGATGGGGCGGCTAGTTCATCCACTATTCTGGTATCTTGAATTCTAGTTTCTGATACACAGCACACATAAATGTCAGGCGAATCCGTGGAGGAAGCAAGAGCAGCTTCTTGTGCTGCTTGCTTCAGAGTGCGGACATTGGAATCAACCAGAGAGACTGAGAGTCGAGAGTTGACGATTGATTTCGAGATATCTGAGGATGTCAGCGCCGGATGATGCGCAGGACGAACGGAATCATCAGTCCTAAGTGCTGGGCCTACAAGGAGGGAGCTATTAATGGGTTGAAGAGAGGAGGGAAGATATTTCGAAGAGGAAAAAGGGAAACGTCAGCAATAGTCCGTTTTCAGTTACCCGCCCATCCGTATGCAGCAAGTAAGGCTATCCGGCGGATGGCACCACGCGACGCCCGACGTGGCATGCGTTTGTTAGTATGTGAAATTCTTGTTTGGGCTGAGACACTGCCGGGGCGCTCAGAACTAGACAAGAAGACGATAAGGGTCCTCAAGCAAAGCCCTTGACTCAAAGGCTTGACCTTAAGGTAGCGGTCCTTGGCGGAAAATGCAAGCGCACTTCTATTTTCACAGAACAAGGCGCCACACAAGTTCCGAATCCTAACCTGGAGGGCCAGGAGGTTGTGGTCGTCAGACCTCTAACCATTGACCAACGTCGTATGAGACTTCGCGAGTGTCGCACGACACCCCCTCCCCCCATTAAGCTTAGTGGGTCGCGGAGGGAAACAAGCCACCACACCACGGTCAGGTCCAGTCTCTTCATGATGGCTATAGGTCTTGGTGCCTTGGCATTATTCCGGGCCACGTAAAACCATGAATTTCACACTTACAAGTTTTCTAATGCCACATCAGCCATCGCGTGATGCCATCAGCCTGTTGGCCCTGCTTGCTGCAAGGCAGGTAAGCGAAAACCAACTAATGCTGAAAACCTCCCGTGTTCTCTTCTATACGATCGCTTTTCTCCTCCTCGCCCCGCTGCTAGCGACATATCCGTAGAGCCTTTCATAAGTCACACTTACATTCTAATGCCACATCAGCCATCGCGTGATGCCATCAGCCTGTTGGCCCTGCTTGCTGCAAGGCAGGTAAGCGAAAACCAACTAATGCTGAAAACCTCCCGTGTTCTCTTCTATACGATCGCTTTTCTCCTCCTCGCCCCGCTGCTAGCGACATATCCGTAGAGCCTTTCATAAGGACTGGCAGATCCATCCACCACCCACTGTCGTTAGCTGAATATCTACGGTTAACTCGAACGCCACGACCGTAAGCGAAAATCCCCAGCGAATCTTCAGTGGTTGATATCCTCACCGGGATATCAACCATTCTCTTCCAAATCTGGTGGTTGTTTGAAATTAGGTAGGATCAGTTGCGTTGCGACGAAATACGAGCTAGTATTAGTTGTAAGGGAGGATTGGTGAAATTTCTTGGTTACTTGACAACCGGATGAGGTTTGATTCACAGTTTTGAACCCTGTTGCTGTACCCGTCATTACGTCACATCACACCCTATCTGACCACGCTTGAAATCTAGTTCCCACACATAAGTAACAATGCAATGATAATAATTATAGACACAAATGCTCATTTCATTAGCGAACTATGATCATTCGGTGCAGGTACTTTGCAAACTTCCCCGCGATCCTAAACTAATTCTCTTTTTACAAATCATTCACTGTCGGACCTTCCTGTGAGCCGTTCAAATGGTTGTCTTTAGATTTGTCATCATACATAAAACTCTACCTACAGCGAACCAGCAAACACAAAACCCCTGATAAGCCAATATTGGAATGGTGGTCAATCGTCACACTCCGTGCGGCTAATCTTGTCAAGCAATGAGGTAAAGAGTAGCCGAGGGTTATTGTGAAATACGTCGCAGATATGACGGAACCAAGTCGACCAGCAGATCAAATAAGCAGTTCAACCGAAAAAAAAACAAGTTTGAAAGCTTCCTGAAACAAACTCCAAAACAAGTAGATTTTCATACCACAAACCGGCTGAGTTGAAAAAAAACAATAGGTCAAAGGCATTACATCTTGGTTGCGGCACATCGACTGAGTGAGCTGGCATGTTACGGTCATGTCCCCCAAGTGTTTCTTAGAAGGTTCAAGCGTGAGAATGAAAACCATAAATTAATGTGCACATAGGCTGAGTACCCAGACGCTTAAAATCAAGAGGGATTTTGAGAAGTGTCACGGGTAGCACGGTAAAGAATAACTCAACGTACTGATGATACTAATGCAGTGGACGAGAAGATTACTTACTGCTAATGGAGCTGTTTGGGAACTCAGGATGTGCCATTCCAACTGCCATATGTTGCACAGCTCCATGACCAGCAGAAGCAGCTGCCAAAACTGCTGCACCCACAGCAGATGAAGTAATTGTTCCACTGTTGCCGACGTGAGCGGGCAAATTTGGTTGGACCAACGGAGGGATGTCGTTCACATGAATAGCATCTAAGGGAATCCGATGTTTGACACGAAGTAACTGGAGTTGACCCGACCCAGGATTAAGGGCCGACCGACGCTCCTGCCACTTGCAAATGAACAAAATCCCAGTAAATAAATAGGCTATCTGCTCGACGGAAGATCGTTTGCTTTCCGTCATTAGGTGGATCCTTCCTTCTGAAAGAAAAACGGTCGGATAAAAACTGATCAGAGAAATCAGAGCTGCGTCCAACATTCAGAAGCTCACTGCAGTTCCCCTTACACTTATAAACTCACAGAAAAAGGGCAAAAGTAGCTTACCAAGAACGAAATCTCCCATGATACTTTTACCAGAAGTACTGGATAGCAACTTTTCTCTTCCTCCCAGAAGGCGCTCAATTTCGTCCGCCTTTACACACTGCTGACTCGGAATCGAATCTGTGGAAGTAGACGTAGCAGGGAAACCAAATATATGAAAACTTTGAGTACCAGTCACACCGGGTGATGAATGTCCGTTCGAGCCTGTCGCATTCGATGGAGAGGATGGAATGTTGCGGTTAATTGGACTAGGCGGGGTATTAGGTCCGGCGAGAAGATCCATGTACAGGGAGCGAAATTGTCCGCCGAGATGACCGGTAGAAATCAGACGTGTCAATTGCAAGCACACCCAAGGATGCTTCGAGAGATCACGTTCCACGCTAGAGCGCGTCTTCGTCAACATGCTGAGGACTTCGTTCAGTCTAGCACGATCCTCTTCGTCATAGGTAAGTTGATGAAGAGTCTAAGACCCGAGAGAGGGGGGAGCAAAAAATAACTGTCAGAAGAGCACCTTAACCAAATGAATAAATCGAAATCCCAAAGGTCAATAGGATTCTCAAAAACTATATCAACGCACGGAACATCTGCTGGTAAGCATTCAAGATAAGAACAGGTGGAGATACATCACGATAAAATGAAATGACATCATTCACATGTATACAGTCACAGTGGTATGCACCAGACGAGGAGGAAGGAAAATATCAGCCACTAAGGAATCGTGAATTTATTACAGTGGTCCTTGGGAAATTCCAGTATGAGTTGTTCCAATCATGTGGGGAATGCAAAAGGATTTCTACCAGAGAAAGGCAGGCATCGATTAACAGAACGATACAAGCAACGGAACGGATCGACGTTCAAAATCAGAATGATACATGGAGTTGATCACTTAACTATCGCTGAAGTCTGATAGACGCATGCCCCCATCCAGGTTGCGGATTCAATAGCAATTGCTTGATACCGTTGGGCATATATCCCTCATACGACCATGCTGAGTTCTGTGTAGTCGTGGGCTGTTATTCAACCCACAAGAAGCACGGAAACTGTCACGGTACAAATATCTACTTGCTCATACGAGTAACGAACTTTCCAGTATTTTTACTCTCCAGTCGATTTCTATTTGAATGGGTGGCTCTCTAGAAACAGTCACTTTTCGTCAGTCATCGACTAATCTGCGGCCAACTGAAAAGATGGTTGTATAACTTCGCCAAAATTATTCTTCGTTTTTTTCCACTGTGGTCCATGGTTGGATTTCGATTGGTAGACCGATGTGGCTTTATCTCTGATTACTTGCAAAGTTCGGAAACCCAGCCCAACTTAAGCTGTCAACCTGTCATTGTGGTCGGGCTTCTGTGCTGCAACGATCCTGCTGGCTATACTGGCTGGAAGTCGGTTCCTAAAGGCTCAAGCATGCCGGAAAGCGAGCGACCGTACTGCAAGATGTCGCAATAAGGGGCGAACTGGAGGTAAAGTCGTGCTGTCCTCTGCGATGGGAGTGTGAAGGTAGTAAGGCGTTTCCTCTAGGGGACCAGCATGTCCATATTTATGGAAGCAGCGATGCTGCTGAGTAGAAAAGATCGCCTCTAAAGACCACAAACTCCGACCTCCTAACTGTTGATCGTGTCCGCCGGAGCATTATTCAACACGGTCGAAACACTTTTAAAACCAGAGTCCCGTGCTATTTAAAAGGCACCTGGTAGGCACAGCCGCATAAGGAATGAGGCAGTAACGCCTTATTTCCTGCATCTCGGGCCAGGCCAGCCCCCTGAAGTCCATTGGGTCAAATTATTGGGTCATTGGCTCCCGGAAAGTTTCCAAAAAAACCTAACAACCACTGCCTCATGGTTCAAACTTGTGAGTCAGAGGCGAAAATCAGGGTCTCCGGACAAAACCCTACATTCTCCCACTGCCTTCTGGATCAGATTTTGAGTCAAAGGCTCAAGTTGGAACACCCTAACCAAACCTCCTTCGGCTCGGGCAACCGAGGAGTATTATTCGCCCCTGCAACTCTTCACTCACCGACCCGCCCCAACCCACCTACCAGTCTCCTAGCTGTTGTTCCGTGTGTAAACCATCGCCCAGAAAAATGAACAAAAATAGCCACCTACTAACCTCAAGAGATCTGATCCACGTTGCAGCCTTCAATGTCTGTAATCTATGTCAAATTGGGCAACAGGTATTCCTTGCTGAAACCTAGCTTTCCCTCTGTCGACGTATGTTGTGTCTCAGAAACACGCATACAAGACCCCACATCAGTCGTGCACATCAAGCCGCTTAGGACGGGCTCTAATGTATGACATTTCACACTTGGGGGTATCTGGTTCTCCTGACACAACAGTCTGTGGTATCTACGGTGTAGGATTTACACTTAGCCTCGAGACTGAAAGACTGGATCGCAGTTAACAGTCGTCTTTAGGCTGTGGTAAGATCAATACGAGTCGATGCGCCAAAAAAACACATATCAAACTGAAACTTGGAAAACTTCTAGATTCGAGTCAAATCGGCCGTATCATGCCTGTAATCAACCAATTCCGATCCTCCGAACCAGCAAGATTATATATCCGGTATGTGAACAATAGTTTTACCAACAATGAAAAGCCAATAAGTCTAACCTTTATCAATTCATGTAAATACAGGAACTGGAAGATCGGGAGAAGAAGCAAACGAGACAGTAGATATTTGAACGCATTGGTCAGGTAATTGCAATTGGCTGAACTTGTCAAGTCTTCCAGACCTGCTGACGATTGTGAGACGTTGTGCTGTCGTAAGTAAGGTCGAACCAACCTCTCCAAGGTGTCCAAGGCGTGTTTCGGGCTGGTGCCCGTAAAACTAGCTGCTAAAGGAGTTGTTGTGGATGATGAAATGGATCGCCGTCGTGAGTCTGGTACAGAGTCCCAGGAACAGCAGCGACTGCAGCTGAACGAGTGTGGGTCTGGTGATCGAAGGTCACTGGCGTGCGGGCTAGCGGATGACTGAAAGACAATCGAAGTATGACTCGCATAAAGTAAGCGGAATATACGTCGAGCTGAAAACGTTAACATACTTTAAAATAATAAGATATACATTAGTCTCTCCTTGATAAAACCCTAATAAGCCTAGTTTTCCAGCCCTATGTAAAACCTCTTCAGTTTGGCCCCGTGAGGTCTGTCCAGGAGCTAACATTTCACCCCGGGACGAGAAACCCATGCACTTATTTAATCATTTAGCACGCAGCTGACTAACAAGACTAGGAGCCCATTTACTCTCGAGATGGCTCAGCAACTCTAAGAAAGCCTCCCATCGACATGACAAAATCTTACAACGCAAAATGATCCACTAAATGTGATTCCTATTGAGTGGACTTGAATTTCAACATAGGTCCCAAGGGAACCACAAAAAAGCGTTTTTCTTCAACAGCCGTCTGTCAGAATAATGTACCTAACGTCGTTTATCCTGGAGATTGCAAGGTACCACATATCGCCATCCTAATAAACCACGGAATTTCAGAAAAATTCTTTCCAAAATGAACTGCTTGGTGATGAAGATCAGTCACAAGAGACCCTGTCTTAGAAAAAGACATTGTATTTCAGTCCTAGTCGATTTTATCCTAGTAAATATACAATTTCCGGTTGATCCCTTCCAGGGAAGACAAGCGTGTTGAAGTACATCTCAAAGAGCTACCGAAGGTGGCCTGTCAAGATCGATGGCAAATGATCTCAAACAATTAGATCTCACGCAGAAGACGCATCTTGGAAAAGAATATTACTACTTGGTCTCCATAGACGGGGAAGACTTATCTTCAACGAAAAGCATTTCTCTAACTAGTTTGGTCTTGTAAAGAATCCAAATAGACCTATAAAAACAAAAGCCGAAGTTTATCCTCGGGTAGTCTATACTGTCTAAAAACGAAAATCACTATGGAACGAATTTCACCATATCTGAAAACAAAACAAAACAAAACGGTTGAAGTCTACGAACGTCAGTACAATCTGGGTTCCTATTTCCAAGGACCGTGCTATCATCCAAGCCTCATTCCACCGACCGTCACGCACGTGCCACTCAGTGATCTTAGTACACCTTGAGAGAGCATCTATGGTATCGACATTCGGAATTCAAACAGTAACCATACAGCTGCTCCGCAGAATCATAACTTTAAAAAAGATGTTGTGGGGGTCTTGCTAGCATAGTTGGACGAAAGCCAAAGTATAGGGTAGAAGTCATAAAAGACAACATCCACCCTGTTTCTCCTAGCACTAAGGTAAATTTGTGCTTATCACTGAGGGAACTCAACTTCTCCAGATTTGTTTGACTTGACCTGTGCGATATCTCGATGAACTAGCGACTAGCTACTACCGCATACTACCGCATTATTATTACTCCACCAAGATAAGTTCTTCTGACGTTGGAAACATGCAGTTAAATGGATAAACAAAGATAACAGTACTCGGAGGAGATGGCCCAAGTGGTTAGAGCGCAAATTTACTGACCAGAATGTCCATGGTTCGAACCCGACCTCTGCCTCTGGAACTCCCCTGTCTAGGCATGGGCAACCTGACAGTATCCCAGCCCTCGTGCAGCCTCCGGGTAGCATGGCAGTTAGGCGCCGAAAAGGTGCCACAGCTGAACGAATTTTATTTTATTTCAATGACAAGGTCCACTCGCGTGGGAAAGAGACGTTTGCAAGCCAACTGCCAAGCTCGGTAAACAATGAAAAAATCAATCTATTAGGTATAAACTGTGTACCATGGGCACATTGGTTCCAGCCCCTACAGATTTGACCACTGGAAACTGGGAGAGTGAGAGACATCCGGCCAAGCACTGGATGCGATGGCATGCCTAGTTAGTTCGAGAATAGTGTAGATACGCATTGAACGCGATACCTTTGATGAACGAATGCCACTGACTGGTCGGTTGGGCTATTACTGCCAGTGTCTTAACCATTAATGGACTGAGTCTCGGGATCCCCATTTAGGCAGGCCTGACTCAGTTTACTGATTACTGTTTTTATACTTTGTTGCCAGGTCATACACTGTCCACCTGTCGGTCACTTCCACTCAGTACGAGGCTGAGCGAAAAGAGCTCTGCGAGACAGAGCGTGATAAGTACATGCACTTACAAGCGTGAACTAGGAAGCGTGAGGGTTTCGTCCTCTCTAAAACTACCTTGTGACCCCGACATTACTAATCTGACGTTCTCGCCAGACCCGAGTAATGCTTTGGAGACACTGATGGCCAACAACTTGCATACATCCTCTGCGCGTAGAGGCCACGCTTCTGATCCTGTCCGGAGGGTATCCGCTCTTGATGATTGAACGAATGTATCACATGCGGGTTACAGGACTAAACGAAGGCTTCCTTTGGTTGATCAGAATGTCAGTCGATCTAATTCGAGCATACATAACTCAGTCCCCAAGATTGTAGCGCGATCTCATAGAACATTTTGTGATTACTCCATAAAACGGTAATAATAATCTTTCTTTGTCTCCATAAAAGCATTATCTCAAGCTACCGTGCCTTCTGATGTACTAAAGTAGGGGGAGCGGGAAACCAAGAATCCACACAGAGGCTTCACCAGTCCTTAAGCCACAAGTGACTCATAAACCAGTAAGGAGCGCACTCCTTCAGTGTAAACTCTGTCTTGATATACAAACTGGCGCCGTAGTTGTTAGAGGTTGGCAAAAACTGTGCTAAACATCCCCATTGCAGAAGTAATCTCAACTCTCACAAGTCCATCGGAAAAAATACAAGTGCCTAGATGGTCAAATTTATCTACTACGTCGATTAGCTCACTTGCAAGCGTGAAATTCGCGCTCAATACTTCCGATTCATGCAGAGCGCTTTACACTTTGTAGATGTGAAGCGCACGCCGAACCATGAGGCAGACTTATTTACGTTACGTTTTGAAGGATCTGAACCATGGGGAACAATATTGTCCGCATACTCAATGTCTGTGGGCGAACGTCCCAGGAATATTTGGACCCCCGAAGTTCCGGAGATAGGCAGACCAATTTCAAGCAGCACGTCAATAATAAAGTTGAAGAGGAAAAATGACAGACAGAAGCTTTGTCTTTCACCACTGGATGTGGTGAACTCAGGAGAAAGTGCTGTATACCCGTACACGCCAACGGGAGTTCGCATACAGTGTCTCATAATAGATATGAATTTGAAAGGACACCTTTGATCGTCAGATAACGCCAAAGTTTCGGACGATCGACAGAGCCAAACGCAGTTTTTGTATCAAAAACGACCAACGTGAGACGTTTGAAAGAGTGACGCTGTTCAAGAACTTGTCTCAAGGCAAAGATATGACCGATGCATCCTCGGTCGGGACGAAAACCAGGTTGATTCTCATGAATGTCTGCCTCGATAATCGACCAGTCTGCACAAAATAATGCTAAGTAACACCTTAGATGAGCCAGATAGCAGATGCCACGATAGTTTTCGCACGACGTTTATGCGCCCTTTTTGAAGACTGGTATGACGTTCGAGGGTCTCCATTCCACTGGTATTCTGTTTTCGTTTCTAATCCTCTGGACTGTGCACCAGGACCTCATCACCTATGAAGTGTAGGATGCAGGATTGATATCTCACGTTGGATTTCCGTTGGTACCGATGATACTTTCAGGCTCGCTGGGTTCTTCCAGCAATTGTTTTAAGTGTTCAGCCTATCGCTCAAAATGACTATTGTGAGAGTGAATCGCCGTTCCGTGTTTTTCACATATTGTCTTGTTGACACCTGTCTCCTTTGGACCGATTAACGGAATTAGCTGAAGGAGGGCACGGCTGTTATCTAAGTGCAAGCCTTCTGTATCTCTTTGGCCTTCGTAATCGACCAGCGTTCTCTGTCATTCCTCAAGCTTTTGATTATCCGGTGCATGTGTGATCTGCTTGCATTATCATGGTCGCCAGTTGCTGGTATGGTATTTCTGGCAGCAATTAGAGCTGCTGCTCTCGGCGATATTCAGTGTTTGTTTAGTCGAGTAAGGTGGCTTGGACAAACAGTTCGAAAGCTGAGAGCATAGCTTCTTTAACTCGCCTCCTTCAACCTTCAAGCAATCTCCATGACTGTGTTAGCAGTAGCTTTCTAGTCAGATCACCTCGATACTCTTGAGCTACTGAAACTTGTCGAAGTTCATTATTAGTTTCTCTGCTTTCGGACGCGTAATGCTGACGGAAGACGAAGTGATAACCAGGCCCACACAATTGCATGATCATAAGTCAAGCTTCATACCCCAGAATTAACGATCATTGTTAACTGAGGCTCTCCACCGGTACCTGATTGCCAGATGGTCCCACTAAGTACACGAGTGATTTGCAGTTGGTGGCCTCTAAGCAACTCGATGTATATTTTTGCTGTAAGTTCGTACCAACCAGGAACAGAAGATGATCAGCACATTACTGGAGCAGCCACTCTCCATTATCCATACGCTGAGCATCGGCTCTAAATCGAGCACTTAAATGTTTCTTCAGAGCATTCTCGTCCAATGAGGCATTAGTATTATCCACCACAGTTACTATATATGTCCTTGCTGACCGGAGCACTTGCGACCAATTTCGAAAAGGCCTACCCTTATCACTCAGAAGTGCACTGTGTCAGGATATAAACTGATATGACAAATGAGCATGGTTCGGTGCATCGAACTGTATTGATCTCAGCCGAGCAATACGATCGCACAGCGTGAAGACGACTGTTAACTGCGATCCAGTCTTTCAGTCTCGAGGCTAAGTGTAAATCCTACACCGTAGATACCACAGACTGTTGTGTCAGGAGAACCAGATACCCCCAAGTGTGAAATGTCATACATTAGAGCCCGTCCTAAGCGGCTTGATGTGCACGACTGATGTGGGGTCTTGTATGCGTGTTTCTGAGACACAACATACGTCGACAGAGGGAAAGCTAGGTTTCAGCAAGGAATACCTGTTGCCCAATTTGACATAGATTACAGACATTGAAGGCTGCAACGTGGATCAGATCTCTTGAGGTTAGTAGGTGGCTATTTTTGTTCATTTTTCTGGGCGATGGTTTACACACGGAACAACAGCTAGGAGACTGGTAGGTGGGTTGGGGCGGGTCGGTGAGTGAAGAGTTGCAGGGGCGAATAATACTCCTCGGTTGCCCGAGCCGAAGGAGGTTTGGTTAGGGTGTTCCAACTTGAGCCTTTGACTCAAAATCTGATCCAGAAGGCAGTGGGAGAATGTAGGGTTTTGTCCGGAGACCCTGATTTTCGCCTCTGACTCACAAGTTTGAACCATGAGGCAGTGGTTGTTAGGTTTTTTTGGAAACTTTCCGGGAGCCAATGACCCAATAATTTGACCCAATGGACTTCAGGGGGCTGGCCTGGCCCGAGATGCAGGAAATAAGGCGTTACTGCCTCATTCCTTATGCGGCTGTGCCTACCAGGTGCCTTTTAAATAGCACGGGACTCTGGTTTTAAAAGTGTTTCGACCGTGTTGAATAATGCTCCGGCGGACACGATCAACAGTTAGGAGGTCGGAGTTTGTGGTCTTTAGAGGCGATCTTTTCTACTCAGCAGCATCGCTGCTTCCATAAATATGGACATGCTGGTCCCCTAGAGGAAACGCCTTACTACCTTCACACTCCCATCGCAGAGGACAGCACGACTTTACCTCCAGTTCGCCCCTTATTGCGACATCTTGCAGTACGGTCGCTCGCTTTCCGGCATGCTTGAGCCTTTAGGAACCGACTTCCAGCCAGTATAGCCAGCAGGATCGTTGCAGCACAGAAGCCCGACCACAATGACAGGTTGACAGCTTAAGTTGGGCTGGGTTTCCGAACTTTGCAAGTAATCAGAGATAAAGCCACATCGGTCTACCAATCGAAATCCAACCATGGACCACAGTGGAAAAAAACGAAGAATAATTTTGGCGAAGTTATACAACCATCTTTTCAGTTGGCCGCAGATTAGTCGATGACTGACGAAAAGTGACTGTTTCTAGAGAGCCACCCATTCAAATAGAAATCGACTGGAGAGTAAAAATACTGGAAAGTTCGTTACTCGTATGAGCAAGTAGATATTTGTACCGTGACAGTTTCCGTGCTTCTTGTGGGTTGAATAACAGCCCACGACTACACAGAACTCAGCATGGTCGTATGAGGGATATATGCCCAACGGTATCAAGCAATTGCTATTGAATCCGCAACCTGGATGGGGGCATGCGTCTATCAGACTTCAGCGATAGTTAAGTGATCAACTCCATGTATCATTCTGATTTTGAACGTCGATCCGTTCCGTTGCTTGTATCGTTCTGTTAATCGATGCCTGCCTTTCCCTGGTAGAAATCCTTTTGCATTCCCCACATGATTGGAACAACTCATACTGGAATTTCCCAAGGACCACTGTAATAAATTCACGATTCCTTAGTGGCTGATATTTTCCTTCCTCCTCGTCTGGTGCTCGTTTTCTGCATAGCCTCATACCGTTGATGAAGTTCACGTTATCTGCACAGTCATTCATGGCTCTACGGCGGCAGTATTATCGAAATCTTTCTCGACGATACTGCACCGTGTTGCCTCTTTTGTGCCAGTTGCCCGGGGTAATATTATATTATTATTATTATTATTATTATTATTATTATTATTATTATTATT